ATCAGGGATCGAACTCATGTCTCCTGTATTAGCAGGCGAACTCTTTACCACTGAGCCACCAGGGAAGCCCTGTATTACCTATTTAATAAAATAAAATAAAATAATAAATATCAAAAAAGTATAATTAACTATTTTCTACCACAAAGACATCTTTTTCCCATTTTATTCTAGCTTTCAGGATTGCTTTGATCCTTTTGATGCCTTATATATTCTCAGTATCTTGTGTAACATCTATTTTTACACTCTACAAGTTTTCAGGGTCCTCTCTTGATTCTCAGTATTCTGGATTTTATTTTTACATTCATTCAATCTGGAAATGTGCATCCTAAAATTCTGGGATATTTTCTAAAAAATTTCTCCTTCCCACCGTCTATTCTGTTCTTTTAAAGAAACTCCTGTTGTTAGAAGTAACTTCCTTTTTCCTCTCATTTTCTAGCTTTTTGTATTTTGGTGATACTTTATGGCTGACTGCTCAGCTTTATCTTCCACTCCTGCTAAACTTATTTGTTCTATATTTTACTTCTAAGAGTTTTTTGTTTGTTTTGGTTCTGTGGTTCCTTTTAATAGCATCCTCTTTGAGTCACTTATGCAGTACCTTTTTCTGTCATTCTGAGGAGTATCTGTTTTGGTTTTCTGGTTTTTCCTAAACATCGCTTTTGTCCCTGTGTGGTGGTCTGCTCCTTTCTGTCCTTATGCGTGCTTCGGCCTGTGTCTTTAGCCTTGGAGCCCCTCCCTGAGGTGTGGTGACCCCTGGATCCGTTCATGTGTGAGGATGAGGCACTAGAAAACTGTGAGGCGGTTTAAGGGAAGGCTCAGAGGGCTTCCCAGGTGGCACCAGTGGGAGAGAACCCAGCTGCCAAACCAGCAGCCGTGGGAGAAGGAGGTGCAGCCCGCTCCAGTATTCTTGCCTGGAGAATCCAGAGGAGGAGAGCTGTGGAGGAGGCTGGTGGGAACAGTGTGTGAGATCGCAGAGTCCCGCACAGCTGAGCACACAGGGGGGTAAACACCGAGATCGGCCAGGACCCCTCCTGGGGCACGGTGGGGTGGCGGAGGTGTTGGCACCAGGCGGTAAGTAGCTCCTCAGAGCACCGCACACAGTCAAGGCCAGCACCTTGACCACAGGGTCAGTGTTCAGAGCCAATGCTGCTTAATGCGAACAAACCAAGCCTCTCTAATTTGGTACCTAGAGGTGGAGTTTTGTTTTTGATGAAGGGGGTAGAAGAGATTGAGAAGAAAGTTGAAAAATAATCTCAGACTTATACCAAGGAAGGGGTAATGTCCATACAGCCCAAACTAGAGAACTAGTCATGACAGTGCGCTTTACTCAGAGTGGAATAAATGTCAAATTAGGTGAGCAAACAGAGAACATTTTTTAAAAAAATAAGATTATCATAGCTGCAGGCATCAAGAAGAATTCATTTGTTGGTTCGGAAAATTCTCTAAGATCTGAGAGATACTTTCCATAAAACAAATAGAAAATACCTGGAGGGGTTAGGTAGGCAGAATGTGATATGGTCTTGGCAGCGGGTGAACCCCTGGATCAGCAAGAGTGCAAGAGCCAGAGCCGTCCTCCCCTGGTGGATTAAGTTGCGATGTTTCCACCCACTCCTTGGCTCAGGGGAGTGAGTGAAGAATCCCGCAGTGGTCACAAGAGTATTTCAGCAAACAGAAACTAGGAGATCTAAAGTTGTTTATTAGGCTTTTAACCTCCCTCACATAAGTTTATCCATTTTTCCACCCTTACCCTTGATGGCTTTTTATTTCTTATCTTCTTTTGTGATGTCTCTTGTGGTTGTGCTTTTTAATATGCTGTCTAGGCTGGTCATAGCTTTTCTTCCAAGGAGCAAGTGTCTTTTAATTTCATGGCTGAACTCACCACCTGCTGCGATTTTGGAGCCCCCAAAATAAAGTCTCTCACTGTTTTCATTGTTTCCCCATCTATTTGCCATGAAGTGATGGAACCAGATGCCATGATCTTAGTTTTCTGAAAGTTGAGTTTTAAGCCAGCTTTTTCACTCTCCTCTTTCGCTTTCATCAAGAGGCTCTTTAGTTGTTCGCTCTCTGCCCTAAGGGTGGTGTCATCTGCACATCTGAGTTTATTGGTATTTCTCCTCGCAATCTTGACTCCAGCTTGTGTTTCATCCAGCACTGTGGTGTTGGAGAAGACTCTTGAGAGTCCCTTGGACTACAAGGAGACCAAACCTAGTCAATCCTAAAGGAAATAAGTTCTGAATGTTCATTGGAAGGACTGATGCTGAAGCTGAAACTCCAATACTTTGACCACCCTTATACGAAGAGCCGACTCTTTGGAAAAGACCCTGATGCTGGGAAACATTGAAGGCAGGAGGAGAAGGGGACAACAGAGGATGAGATGGCTGGATGGCATCACCGACTCGATGGACATGAGTTTGAGCAAGCTCTGGGAGTTGGTGATGGACAGGGAGGCCTGGTGGTCTGCAGTCCGTGGGGTCACAAAGAGTCGGACACGACTGAGCGACTGAACTGAACTGAACTTGTTGTGCAGTCACTAAGTCATGTCCGACTCTTTGTGTCCCCACGGACGGCAGCATGCCAGGTTCCCCTGACCTTCACTATCTCCCGGAGTTTGCCGAAATTCATATCCATTGAGTCAGTGATGCTCTCCAACCATTTCAGGCACATGAGAAGATGTGGAGTTTTCCAAGTTGACACTGGGAGAGATGGAATTTCCGTGTTGATTGAACAACTAACATGACCCCACCCTGAATGCCCTAAAATATAGCTTGAAGTCACCCCTGATGTAGTTTTAAAGCCCTCAGAGCAGAGCTGGCCAGCAGGACTTTCTGTGATGATGGAGATGCTCCGTGTCTGTGCTGCGTTGCTGTTGAGCACTTGAAATGCAGCAAGTACAGCTAAGGAACTGCATTTTAATTCATACTTCATTTTGATTCCTTTAAATATAAAGAGCCACCCCTGGTTTGTGGCTGCCGTGTTGGACAGCACAGCTCTTGAGCAATGGTTTATTCTTTGTTGAGATTTGCTGTCCTGGAGGTGTGCTCTGTATTGCAGAAGCTGTTGATTCTCATCAGGAGAGGAGTGACAGGTGGACAGGCCTGGCGTCCCGCAGGCCGAAAGTGAGTCCAGCCCAGGGAGAATGTGCCGGGCAGTGGAAGAAGCGCAGTCAGCCTTTTGATGTCGTGTGTCCATAGGCAAGTTAGTGTGTCCGAGTCTCCTTCCCGTTGTCTGTGACAGAGGAATAACGTTTTCCGTGTGGTTGTAGTGATGAGTGGAGCTTCCCTGGTGTCCCAGTGGTGAGGGACCCACCTACCAGTGCAGGAGGCAGGAGATTCGGGTTCGATCCCTGGGTCAGGAAGACACCCTGGAGGAGGACATGGCAACCCACTCCAGTATTCTTGCCTGGAGAATCCCCATGGACAGAAGAGCCTGGCGGGCTACTGTCCATGGGGTCAAAAAGAGCTGGGCATGATTGGGTGACTGAGCATGCACGTGGTAATGAGCCACGCCACGAAATGGAGAGCGTCTGCTGGAGACAGGAAATACACGCTGGTTCTGATGGATACCTGGGTGCCTGGCAGGCGCTAACTGGATAGTGGTCATTTTCTCCCCCCTGCTGGCTGTGTTCCTCTCTACCGAGGGACAGCAGTGTTGCTGGCCTGGCCAGGATGTGCCCCAGGCGTCACTGATGCAGAGACAGGGGTGATTGGCAGGTGGATTCTTTACCACTGAGCCACTCTTCCTCATAAGATGAGGGCTGGAAAGAGAGGCCAGGATCAAGATAGAAAGAGAGTGGCCTGTAGGAAAAGTGTGAGAAAAATACAGGAGACATGACCGCCTGTGTGTTGGGGGGAAACAGACAGCCCTTGGCTCTGGTTCATTGAACTCAGAGGAAAAGCCCTCACCGCTGCCCCTTTAAATACACTGACTGCATAAGCTTTGTTTAGTGTCAGAGCCCCGTGTGCTTTCTTATAGTTCAGAGCTTGTGTTCAGTTCTTTGGCCATAAGATGGAAAGGACCCTCTGCTTTCGATCGCTTTTTGCTTCTTGGCTTTGAACTGCAGAACCAGTAATAAGACGCCGTCAGATTTTTCGAGCCTCTTTATTGTCAGGCAGCCAAGCCCTGGTGCCGGGCCTCTGGTTAACGTCCTGGAGATGACGGCTCACTTCACCCAGGCCATGTCCTGCGCCATTTATCTTTGGGTTTGTCTGACCTCTCAGAAGCTACTAAGTTACCTGCCTATTTTTAACCTGTGTCTGGAGCCAGCTCCAGAAAGAAGTGGCCACATGAGCCGCGATGAGGTGGTGACCACACAGCTTTCCAGATCTTCACTCCCCTTTCTCAGGCTTTTCCTCTTACTTTTGTGTTGGGGTTTCTCAGCCTCGGGGTTACTGACATTGGGCCAGATGCCGGGGTTGGGGGAGGGTTTCTGGACATGGTGGAACGTTTAGCAGCATCTCTGGCTTCCACCCGGGAGTGACAACCGCAAGGGCCCCAGGGGGCAGAACGGCCCCATGGAGAACCATTGTGCGTTTCCTGTCTCCACTGGGTCTGTACCTTAGCTCTGGACCACACGCCTCATCTCCAGAAACCTGGTTCCTTGGCTCTCACCTCTGATCGGTGGCTGCGGCCGCTCCCCAGGAGGGCAGAAAGCTCTGGCTGACCAAACCACTGGTCCTGGGAGTTTTCCCAGTGAAACCTCCTGAAGTTAGTCGGAGGGGTCCGCATACTCTGGAAAGCTGTGGTGGAGCTGTTCTAGGAGTAGCCGTGCAGACTCAGGAAGTTGGGACATTTGCAGCAAATTCGATGAGCCTTTGCTGAGCGCCAGAGGGGGCCCTTGAGTCGATGGTGGGGTGGGAGGGGCGTGGGGAGAGGCTACAGGGGGGCTGGAATGGACCCTGAGAGGCCGGTACAGCAGTAACTCTGGCTGCGTCCACGGAAGGTGGGCTGGCATGAAGGTGGGGGCTGGTGAGAGATGGTCTTTTGTGTTACATCCTACTGGACAGAGTGGCTCCTTTCTGCCCACTGGAGACGCCCTTTGCCCTCTGGATGTGGAGGGCAGCCAGGCCAACATCAGGCCCAGTTCGGCCGGGACCCCAGAGCAGAGATGCAGGCTACCCAGCCGTGTCTGCCTGTCTTTCTGGGAAAAGCCCCAGGCCCACGGCTCAGGTGCACCCCAGGGACAGCAGAGCCGAGGGGGCGTCATCCACGCGGTCACCACGGTGCGCGCTGCGGAGAGTCGGCTCTGCCCCGGGGCGGGGCGCTGCAGGGTTGACCTTCCCAGCCAGCTGGGGTCCCAGCCCCGCAGCCCACGGCCTCTGCCTGGTGCCCGCCGGCTCCATGCTGGGGATTCAGCAAGACATGAAGACTGAGAGGTGCTGCTGGGTGCTGCCTGGACACAGCTAAGCACAGCCACCTGCGACCCCCACATCCTGTAACCCTGAGGGGGCATCTGCTTATAGCACCCACCCCCCGAGGCAGGGGAAGCAGCCTGGGCCAGTAAGTGGCCGGGCCTGGGATGATGCTTCTGGTTGACTTGATGTTCCAAAAAGGGCAGGGATGGGGCAGTGCATCTGGCCAAGGGAGGGAGCCCAAGGTGCCACCTTGTCCTAGAGCCAGGAGGCCTCCGTGGCTGGGTATGACCCTAGCATACTTGTCTGCATCACCTGCTCTTTCGAAATCCCAGGTGTGCTATGGGCAGGGAAGACAGCCCCCCCAACTTCAGCCTCATCAGTGGGGGTGGTGCTGGCTGCCCATTAATACTCCAGACCCCCAGGGAGGCCCCACCAAGATCAGAAGGAGGCTGGGTGTCAGACGACATGAAGACAGGTGACCAGCATACTTCCATAGGGCTAAAATTGTCCCCGTGTCTCCTAAGAGGCACAGTTGCTTTTGCCATTTGTAGCTGAACTTCTTAAAACAGATGACCAGTCCTGGGCCCTGTGAGGACCGCTCTGTGTGCCGGGGTCCCGGGGTCTTTCCTCGTCTTGTTCTTTAGGAAGTTCTGTGCAGCCTCTGTCTCCCCGTTCTCCCAGGGTGAGAACCGGGAGAATCAGCCATCCGGAGGGCTCACCTCCCCCGCCCATCCAGGGCCTCGCTTCCCTCTGCATTCCCCGGGGCCGAAGGCCTGTGAGTCACCCCGGAGGCTGCAGAGATGAGGCAGGAAGTGACTGTTAGCTGTGGGGATGCTCTCTATTCTGTCGTATTGCCCTCCAAGGTTTAGATCTCTGGCTTCCGTTTTAATGTACAGTTTTCAAAGAAAACCACAGATATACAGTATCCCTCTCATGCTTGGAAAATTCAACTTTAAGATTCCTTTCACTTAGATTTTTGCTTGGTGAACAGTGCCACAACTTTCATCTATTTTTTTTTAATCTTTCCTAAACATCTTTTCCAACTTTCCCTAAACAGGATGAGGCAGATAATAAATTACCCTGAATATCGGATACCGTGGGCGGGTTGCCTTGCAGTTTGGTGTTGTGCTCAACACTAGCTAATCGCCTGCTTTTTAAATATGATTAAATATAGAAAAATGTAGCAGGTAAGAAGCACAACGTATATAAGATACATTGTATACTGTACGGTCACAGTTCATTCTGTCTGTACTGCTCTGTATCCAGCTTTTCACACGTTGAATTCTGTTGGGTGAGGATGCGCCTGGCCTGTTGGTGGGTTTCACGGGCATCGTTTAGAGGGTCATCGTGCCCCCTGTCTCGGGCTCTGGCCGTGTTCCGTGGTAGATGATCCATTTCTTCTGGAGAAGTATAAGCTGGCGCAGCGCTGCTGCTCCCTGGATCTGGGATGCGGGTCCTTGACTGTTCTTGCAGCTCCAGGTCCTGGGCAGTAGGGTGAGGATGTGGTGTTGGGAGAACTCAGGAGAAGACGCCTGTCGGTGGCCGGGGTCTGGCTTCCCTCTGACCTCACCCTCCCGGAGGTCACTTCCTCTGGGAGGCCCCGGGCCCACGCGTCTCCCACCCCCAGGCCCGAGATGAGCATCCTCCCCACTGTCCGCAGCTCCTCCCGTCCCCACAGCTGTGGGCCGGCTGATGCCTCCCTGTCTCCACCCTCTGCCCCCCGGAAGTCTGGGTGCTGTCTTCTTTGGGGCTGTACCACGTCCAGTCCCCAGGAGACCCCTGTACCAGGCACATGGGAGGCCCTCACAGACCACCTGGTGACTGAATGCAACTCAGAGCAAAAACCAGCGTTCCTCTTCAGTTTGCTGGTGACTAGTATTCTCTGATTAAAAGGAGAGCCTTTGAAGGTGGCCTTTTTCTTCCAACTAGCTTAAACTGCCTTTACTGCATGCAGTGGGTTTATTGGCCATTCATTCTATGTCCTGACAACCTCCTCAGGCCCCAGAATAGGTCAGGAGCCGGGGTCGCTCTGTCTGCATGCTGGCAGCATCATCAGCGTTCATCAGTGAGGGGCCACATCCCCAGAACCACACTCAGCTCTGCTGCTGAGGCCAGGTCTGCGTCAGCTCCTTTCGGGCTCTTCTTGTCCACCGTTAGTGTGGCGGACAGTGTTGCAGGAAATGCACTGTCCTCCTCATTCCTGTGGTTAGAGACGTAAGATCATCTTTAGGAGCCCTGCGGAGAAGGTGTACACGGGAGGTCAGGATCAGAAGACCCGGGTCTGAGTCCCCAGGGCACCATTTCCTAGCTTCGCCACTTTGGACACGCCACCCAGCCTGTGCGAGCCCCGCTGTCCCCACCTGTAAGGTAAGTGATAGCCGTGGGGTGAGGACCACGTGAGGGACTCCGGACCGAGCACTCCTGCCCTCCATCGGGGCATCCAGGTATCCTCGTGCACTGACACTCTGAAAACGGGTCGGGGGTCATAGGCCCCAGACCGGGTGTACACAGGGGCCACCTGCCTGCCACCCACGTTAGATGAGATGTGGACTGAGACAAGCCTGCTGCTGTCCCCAGCTCCAGGCGCTGCTCCAGGCTGCCTTCGGGGGAAGTGGTGGGTGGGTGGGGGCATGCATGATGGGGCGTGCCTGGGATGAGTCCCCCCCCCCCGCTTTGGCCTCCCTAACTACTATAAGGAGGGATGGCCCCCACCCACCAGCCTCACAGAGTTCACGTGAGGCCCAGGTGAGAAGGCATGCGAGATCGTGCTCACAAGCCCTAAAGGGCTCTGCACACGTCAGATGGTGGCATTACTGTCGGAAAAGTTGGAAATAAATGCTTAACACCTGGGCGTCTCAGGCTGTCTTGTAGCTGCTCCTGTAGCTGGGAGCGGCGTGCTCACTGGCAAGAGCCATGCATTTTCCTTCACATGGGGCCCTCTCTCTTTTTTATTTCTTAAATGTTACTGGGGTGTAGTTGATTTACAGTGTTATGTGACTGTCTCTTGTGGTGGTGATGTTGCTTTCTTCTAAGTTGGAGGAGGAAGCCCTGCGCGCCTGGCGTGTCCATCAGGAAAGAAGCAGGGTGGAGGTATGGCGGGAAGTACAGGAGCCGTGGCCCAGAAGTCGTCCACATGCAGCCCTGGTCTGGGCTTGGAGGCCTCTGGTCCTTTCAGGTCCTTGGGGAGAGGAGGAGGAAATGGACCAGAGTCGCCATCACCATGACAACCACAGATCCCCACCAGCCCTGGCTCAGGGAGGGGTGTCGGAGGGGCCAGCAAGGGCGCCCTCCTAACCTTTTCTAGTCTCTCTTGAAATCTCCTTCTGCCTTAATTCCCTGCAGTCTGGCCCTGCGTGCCATCTGCACAGAACAGGAGGGAAGTAAGTGATAGAAGATCTGATCTCATATAAGGAAGCAGCCCCTGTTCTCTGCACACATGCGTTCTGTCACTTACACACTGTTACTGAATCAAGCCTTTTCTCAAGGACAAAGGAGCGCGCTGGACTCATAGACTTTTATTTGGATTTTGCAGCAAATGACATCCTTTTGGCTTTGTGGCCTCTTTTGCATTTTGCAGAATCACCTGTACAGCAAACCAGCAAAAACCACCAGCCCTCATGGGGTGGAGTCAAGTCAGCCTGTCACCCCGATGGGTTCTGGTCCCTGAGAGGGATGTTCACAGAGCTTCTCTGAAACAGTGGCTGTTAAGTTTCTCACACCGACTCTGAGCATACAAAGTGCACTGGGCTGGAACTGAAGGTGGTGGGTAGCATCTTAGATCAGTGGTTCTCAAAATGTGGCCTCCAAACACAGTATCCACACCCCTTGAACTCTTTAGCAATGCTGGTTTTCAGCCCACCAACCCAAATGAATTGGAGCCTTGGGGGTGGGGCCCAGCCACCTGTCCTGAAAGCCATCCAGGTGGTTCTGATACCCTCTGAAGTTTGAGAAGCTCTGCCTTAGATGAAATGATGCTATTAATGATTCTGATTATAAAGAAGTGAGGGAGTGAGTGAAAGTGACTTAGTCGTGTTCAACTCTTTGCGACACCATGGTCTATCCTTGGAGTTCTCCAAGCAAGAATACTGCTGGGGGTTGCCATTTTCTTCTCGAAGGGATCTTCCTGACCCAGGGATTGAACCCAGGTCTCCTGCACTGCGAGCAGATTCTTTACCATCTGAGCTACCAGGGAGTCCCATAAAGATGAGGAATAACCTTTATACTAATACTCCTGATTAAAACAGTAGGACCTTTTCCTGCTCAAATGCCTGAGGAGCCCATCAGGCTGGGTAAACCTGCTTGTTGAGGAGCTGACCCTTCTCACAGGCTTTCCCCACCCCGTCTCCCCTCTCCATGAGGTCCTGGTGTGGCTGCCAGCCCTGAGGGTCAGCCTCCTGGCACATAGCCGGTGCTCAGTTAGTAGGGTTAATGGTGAGTGAATGAACAAGTGAATGGCTGAATGAATGATTGGATGGATGGTGGATGGATGGATGCCTGAATGGATGGATGACTGGATGGATGGATGGATGGAATTAGCCTAACTTCAAAGTAACATTTGAAAATACAGGTTCTTTTGAAACTAGAACAAGATTTTCAAAGGTTTTTGATGGTTACTTGGGTGTAAATGAAGATTTTCATTTACTGAATGAAGCTGTTGCTCACAGGATCTAATTTGGCAAGCTACTGACTCCTGAAATGTCCGTTCTGTTTCCCCCCCACAGCCCCACCTTGGGCAGTTTGGTCAGTGACTTTGTCCCCCTTTCGTGAAATAGGAGACGGAAGGAGAAATAAAGCAGGAAACTTTCCATTCTTTCCCAGTGATGCGTACAATTGTTCCCTCTCCCAACTCCTCCTTTTCAGACTTTGCCCCCTCGTGTTTCTCCATTGTGTTGTTTTGTGGTGTTGGCACTTGGAAAAAATCTTTGAATGATCCTAGTGATGGCCATTTGGACAGGGCATGGGCGATCAGGTTCCACTGCAAGTCGCCAGTGCCCCGAGCTCACAGTCCCTAAAAAGGCATTCATTGTGTCCAGGGAAACCGCTAAGGCTAGTGGCACCCTACCAGGGGCTGAAGTAACTTGGACCAGGTTTGTAGAACATTCTCCGCTGCGGTTTCCCTATTGGGGAGCAGGGTTTGGGCTGGAGGAACTTAGGTGTATTCATGTATCCTGCCAGGTGCAATAAATAGCTGTCTTTGCCTGACCTTACCCCCATGTAAGTTCTAAAAAGCCCTGTGCGCACCAGGAGGAACTGAACACTTTAGTAGGAGCAGACTGATGCTGGGGTAACACATCAGAAGCATGTTGGGACACAGAAGGCAATTGAAATGATTAAATATTGGAGATATGCCTTGTAAAACCAAAAACTTAGCTAGACTGATTATTATAAGGCCTAACCTGTTCTAAGTGATTTTCGTTTGCTAAACTGCAGACTTCAGACAGATTTCCAAGCTTTTTTGTTTGTTTGTTTGTTGGGGGGTTTTTTGTTTGTTTATAATAAAGTCCTCTTTCTGTTTCAGGATCCCACATTGCATTTTGTCATTGTGTTGCCCTTGTCTCTTCAGCCTGTGATGGTTTCCAGGGACTTTTGGAGAGTGTCAGCTATGTATGCAGTAGAATGTCTCAGTTTGGATCTGCCTGATTAGACTGAGCTTTGGACTTAAGTGAGAATTCAGGGGCGCCTCATGTCAGCATGACATCCTTTACAACGTCCCCCCTGACCCCCCAGGGCTAAGAGGGAGTCTGCCAGGTTCCTCCATGTCAGTGTTACTGGTTTTCCATTTCCCTGCTTTGTCCTCAAGAAGTGCGTCCCTAAACACAGTCCATCTCAGCAGAGGGGACATCTATTCCACATCTTAGAGGGAGGACTATCAAAGAATATGTAGTCTTAGGTTGAAATTATCAGTGTAATTAGCAAATTTGAGGAGCAATACTTTCAGGATATGCAGATATCCTGTGCTATCCTAAAGTTTATCAGTGGATAAGGCATTCTTTCTTAAATGTGAGTATCAAAATCGAGTTAGTAATTACTCTACAATAGAAATGAGTTCCACCCTGAAAATATGTTCGTAAGCCCTGGATGGCATCACCGACTTGATGGACATGAGTTAGAGTGAACTCCGGGAGATGGTGAAAGACAGGGAAGCCTGGCGTGCTGTAGTCCATGGGGTCTCAAGGAGTTGGACATGACTTAGCGACTTCCCTGGTGGCTCAGAGGGTAAAGTGTCTGCCTGTAATGCAGGAGACCTGGGTTTGGAAGGACCTGGGTCAGGAAGATCCCCTGGAGAAGGAAATGTCAACCCACTCCAGTATTCTTGCCTGGAGAATCCCATGGATGGAGGAGCCTGGTGGGCTACAGTCCATGGGGTCGCGAAGAGTCGGACACGACTGAGCAACTTCACTTTCTTTCTTTCACTTTCTAGCGACTAAACAACAGCAAAAGTCCAACACATTTAGCCTACCCAACGAACACAATCAGCTATATAGTACTGTTCTATAATAGGTTTATAGTACTTCTCACACAAATAATACATAACATTAAAAATCAAACACAAGAAAATAAAGAAAAAGTTTTTAATCTTATACTGCATTGCCTTGAAAAGTACAGCAGTTCCAGCTGCATCATCGCTGCTTTCACACTTGCTCCCTGACATCCTGGGCTTGAGATAAAGATGCTGTACTACTGTGTCCTCCGTACAGTACTCCACAGTAAAGTACACAAAAGCGCAACCACTTGTGGAGGACCCACACATGTGACCATGGACACCAGACACACGAATAACTTACATGATCGGACATGTGAGTTCAGTTCAGTTCAGTCCAGGCGCTCAGTCGTGTCCGACTCTTTGCGACCCCATGGACTGCAGCATGCTAGGCCTCCCTGTCCATCACCAGCTCCTAGAGTTTACTCAAACTCATGCCCATTGAGTCGGTGATGCCATCCAACCATCTCATCCTCTGTCATCCTCTTCTCCTCCCACCTTCAGTCTTTCCCAGCATCAGGGTCTTTTCTAATGAGTCAGTTCTTCGCATCATGTGGCCAAAGTATTGGAGCTTCAGCTTCAGCATCAGACCTTTCAATGAATATTCAGGACTGATTTCCTTTCGGATGGACTGGTTGGGTCTCCTTGCAGTCCAAAGGACTCTCAAGAGTCTTCAACACCACAGTTTAAACGCATCAGTTCTTCAGCACTCACCTTTCTTTATAGTCCAACTCTCACATCCATACATGACTACAGGAAAAACCATAGCCTTGACTATATGGACTTTTGTTGGCAAAGTAATGTCTTTGCTTTTTAATATGCTGTCTAGGTTGGTCATAACTTTTCTTCCAAGGAGCAAGCGTCTTTTAATTTCACGGCTGCAGTCACCATCTGCAGTGATTTTGGAGCCCCAAAACATAAAGTCTGTCACTGTTTCCACAGTTTCCCCATCTATTTGCCATGAAGTGATGGGACCAGATGCCATGATCTTTTGTTTTCTGAATTTTTAAGCCAACTTTTTCACTCTCCTCTTTCACTTTCATCAAGAGGCTCTTTAGTTCTTCTTTGCTTCCTGCCATAAGGGTGGTATCATCTGCATATCTCAGGTTATTGATATTTCTCCTGGAAATCTTGATTCCAGCTTGTGCTTCACCCAGCCCAGCATTTCTCATAATGTACTCTGCATATAAGTTAAATAAGCAGGGTGACAATATACAGTCTTGACGTACTCCTTTTCCTATTTGGAACCAGTCTGTTGTTCCATGTCCAGTTCTAACTGTTGCTTCCTGATCTGAAAAGGCAGAGGAACCAGAGATCAAATTGCCAACATCCGCTGGATCATCAAAAAAGCAGGAGAGTTCCAGAAAAAACTCTGTGTCTGCTTTATTGACTATACCCAAGCCTTTGACTGTGTGGATCACTATAAACTGTGGAAAATTCTGAAAGACCACCTGACCTGCCTCTTGACAAATCTGTATGCAGGTCAGGAAGCAACAGTTAGAACTGGACATGGACATGCAAACATACAGAATTTGAAAGGTCACAGTTTGAAGGTTCACATGTAGGGGACTTACCGTATTTGGTGTAACCACTGAACCCAAGAATAGAGCTTGGTCAGGGGTTGTGGCCTGGCCTGGCCCTGTGGCTTTTTCTGTTTCTCCTTGCTGTACGGACACTGGCCGGGGGGTGGGGGGGATTCTCTGGGTCCCACCAACCCCTTTGAGCGTTCCGCTCACCCACTGTTGTGGACTGGATGCTCCAACACCTCCCTGCCCTGCACCTGGCCCCTTTCTCCCACCTTCCATCAGCAGGTACGTGCTCTGAGCAGCAGCTCCATTCCCCAGTTTTCTCATGGTGCAGCCAAGAGAGGCCATGCTCCCTTCCTGGGGGGACGAGACTTGCTTAGGAAGATAATTCTTTTTTTTTTGGAGGGCATTTCAAGGAGACTAAATGGTGGATCATCACTGAATGAAGGTTATATAACGAATCCCTGGAGTAGGGAATGGCAACCCGCTCCAGTATTCTGGCCCGGGAAATCCCACGGACAGAGGAGCCTGGCGGGCTACAGTGCAGGAGGTCACAAAGGGTCGGACACGACTGAGCATACACGCATAAGATGTATAGAAGAATGACTTTTTCGATCTTCACTCATTGTCGCTTTTCACAGTCGAGACATTTATTGCCTCAGTTTGAGATGAGATCTCAGTTTTTAAAAGCACGGGTCTGGCATAGACATACTCTTGAATATGTCACCTTGTAAAGAAATCCGTTGGCAGAAAGCAATCACCTTTAGTCAGCTGAAGCTTGTTTTGCAGTTAAACCTAAATATTAATAGTTGCTGTTCAGTGCACATATTTTTTGCTAATTTTGTTCCCTGCTTTTTTACCAATGAAGTGAGCGAAGACTTAAGGGGAAAAGTCTAGTGGAAAGAAGGGCAAATACAGCACCTGCCTTTTAGAAATTATCCTAAATAACAGTGAGCCATAGAATGTGAGAAAAATCAGGGGGGGTGAAATGCAGACCAGACTATCAAAAGACAAAATGTCTAAATTGCAGCGAATTATAGACCTTTCCCTAGAAATGTCAACCTGAAATCCACACAAAGCAGCACTCTTATCAGCACAAATCAGATTCTAGGGAGCTCTCAGAATTGCAGTTCTCCCTAAGCTCTGGCCTGGCTTTTCATCCTGTGATATGGTTCTTTTCATCTTTTCCTGAGCCTGATTATCCACTGTGGGCGCCCTTGGTAATAAGATCAGGGTAACAACAACGGAGGGAGTGGTAGCAGCTTTTGCTGAGTGGTTAAGACCCTTTGATTATTAACTCACTAAATCTTCCCGGTGACCCTATAAGCCAGTGTATGGTCTGAATGGCTGTCCTCCCCACCCCGCCCATATGCTGAAGCCCTACCCCCCAGTGTGGCTGTGCTTGAAGATGGGGGCTCAAAGGAAGTAGTTAAGGATAAATGAGCTCTTCAAGATGAGACCCTGCCCCGCTAGGGCTGGTGTCCTTACAGGAAGAGCTTTTGCGCCACGCGAGCACACTGGGGACAGGGTGGCGCCCACAGCAGGAGGAGCGCCCTCACCGTTACCCACCCCTGCTGGCGTCTTGATCTTGGACTTCCAGCCTCCATGACGGTTGTTTAAACGACCGTTTAAGTCATCTATGTGGCTTCTGCTCTCAGCAACACTACCCTCGTTGCCCTCATTCTGTTGCCCTGTTAAACTTACCTTTGAACGGCCTAATGTGGGCGGAGGAAAGTGCTGAGCCCAGCCTTCTCCTGAATGTCCGTGTAGCGCTTGTGTTTTTAAATGGCACGAGCCTGACCGCGGCCAGGGCTGCCCAGCGCACCTTCGCAGCACCTGCCGGCACGTCCCTGACGCCATCTTGGACTCTTCATTTCGGAAAGCCTGCAGCCGCACCCCAACGGTGTCCACAGTGCCCCCTGCAGGCTGGTGTAAAATCCGCCTTCGGTTCTGAAGACCTGATGTTTAATCTCGCCTCTCAGTATGGTGACTGCAGCCGTGAAATTAGAAGACATTTGCTCCTGGGAAGAAAAATTATGACAAACCTAGACAGCATATTAAAAAGCAGAGACGTTACTTTGCCAACAAAGGTCCGTCTAGTCAAAGCTATGGTTTTTCCAGTAGGCATGTACAGATGTGAGAGTTGGATCGTAAAGAAGGCTGAGAGTCAAATAATTGATGCTTTTGAACTGTAGTGCTGAAGAAGACTCTTGAGAGTCCCTGGGACAGCCAGGAGATCAAACCAGTCAATCCTGAAGGAAATCACTCCTGAATATTCATTGAAAGAACTGATGCTGAAGCTGAAGCTCCAGTACTTTGGCGACCTGATGCAAAGAGCCAACTCATTGGAAAAGACCCTGAAGCTGGGAAAGATTGAAGGCAGGAGGAGAAGGGGGTGACAGAGTATGAGATGATTGAATGGCATCACCAACTCAACGGATATGAGTGTGAGCAAACTCCAGGAGATAGTGAAGGACAGGGAAGCCTGGTGTGCTACAGTCCATGGGGTCACAAAGAGTCGGCCACGACTTAGCAACTGAACAACAACAACAGGATATTTGCTTTGTGAACCTGGACAAGTCACATGACTCAACTTTTCTTGGCCTCTCTTGCCTTCTGGTGACGAACAACAAAGCCGTTTTTTCCTGGAAACTACCTGCATCCCCATCGCAGTGTGGACTCAGGGAGGAATTACCTGGAGAGGGTCCCCTCCTAGCAAGAAGGCCTGGCAGGCTTCCTCAGGAAGGAAAGAAAATGCACTGATATCACATAGTTTGTTACTTTTGCCTCATTTTCTCAGATTACTAAAAGACACATCTTTTCAGGATTTTTCCTTTTTCCTTTCTGGGTACCACAGCGCCATGAAATGCATCCATTCCACTGTTCTGGCTGCCCCAAAGGGATTCTCAAAGCAGCAAGAACTGAAAACCCAGAGGAGGCTTTCATCTGTCGCCTCACTTCCGCAGTCAGCATCGTGGCTGCCGGGCCCCTGGCTTCTGCAGGAGCCAGAGGGAGAGCGGGGGCCACAGTCTGAGAACATCCACGGTCCCCCCCTGCAGACCCCCGCTCGGCCCAGAGCTAACCCGGCCCTGGATCAGGCCCCTCTCTCCCCACCCATGGAGTGAGCACTACTTAATTAGCTGTGCCCAGCTGAAAGCATGGTGATGAAGCTGCCATTACCAGGTCAACCTGAGGGCATTCTCTATGTATTTTTAGATTTTATTTTCAAAAAGAAGATGATGTTTTTCAGGCCACTGTTGATAGCAGACTGCAAAGAAGCATGACATTTTTACTTTCCATTTTATTTATTCCTCTGTTCACTGCCTCCTCTCTCCGCACATGGTTCCGAACAGCCACAGGGGCTGGTGTGAGCCCTGGGTTGTCTTTGTGCTCAGTTACCTGTTGGCTTATGTGTTCACTCTTTCCCTGACCTGGCCATCAAGTCTTGACTAGCCCCAACAGGTACAGTGTGCTGGGGCCAGAGACGGAGATGTGGTCCTCATCACAGCAACCTCACTTTCAAATATCGCTTGACCACTGGGCAGATTTTACTGATCACAAATACACAGAGGCTAAACAATATGCTACTGAATAGCCAATCGGTCACTAAAGAAATAAAAGAAGAAATAAAAAATTAACCTGGAGACAAATGAAAATGAAAACACAGGAAACTGAAATCTATGGAACACAGTGAAAGCAGTTCTAAGAGGAAAGTTTGCAGCAATACAAGCCTACCTCTGGACACAAGAAAAATCTCAAGTAAAAACCTAACCTAACTATCTGTTTTTACAGTCCACGTCTACGGGATATCATATGATATTTCTCCTTCTCTGTCTGACTTACTTCACTCAGTATAACACTCTAGGTCCATCTATGTTGCTGCACGTGGCACTGTTTCATCCTTTTTAATGGCTGAGTAATATTCCATCGTGTATATGTACCACATCTTGTTTATCCAGTCCTCTGTTGATGGATATTTAGGTTGCTTCCATGTCTTGGCTATTGTAAACGGTGCCATTAGGGAGTTTGGCAAGGGCATGTACACACTGCTGTATTTAAACGGATAACCAACAAAGACCTATTGCATAGCACATGGAACTCTGCTCAGTGTTATGTGGCAGCCTGGATGGGAGGGGAGTTTGGGGAAGAATGGATACATGTTATAGGTATGGCTGAGTCCCTTCCCTGTTCACCTGAAACTCTTATAACATTGCTGATCAGCTATACCCCAATACAAAATAAAGCTATAAAAAACAAAACAACTTAACTTTACTCTTGACCCGTGCTCCCATATTTCTAACTATACTACAAAGCCACAGTAGTATGTATATATATATATATATATATATATATATATACAGTATAGTATTGGCACAAAAGCAGACAAGTAGATCAATGGAACAGAATGGAGAGTCTAGAAATTAACCCATACTTAGAGGGCCAATTAATTTACAACAAAGCAGACAAGAATATACAGTGAGTAAAAGACAGTCTTTTTAATAAGTCATGTCAGGAACACTGGACAGCTATATGCAAAAAAAGTCAAATTGGACTACTTTCTCATCATATGCAAAAGTAAACTCAAAAGGAACTAAAGACTTTGATATAAGACCTGAAACCATAAAACTCCTAGAATATGTAGGCAGTACTCTCTTTGACATCAGTCTTAGCAATATTTTTATTGCTGCCTCCTCAGGTAAGAGAAACAAAAAACAAAAGCAAAAATAAACAAATGGGACCACATCAGACTAAAATGCTTTTGCACAGCAAAGGAAACTATTTACAAAACAAAAAGTCATCTACTAAATGGAAGAAGATATTTGCAAATGATATATCCAGACATCTTGGAGTGTGAGGTCAAGTAGGTATCACTACGAACAAAGCTAGTGGAGGTGATGGAATTCCAGTTGAGCTATTTCAAGTCCTAAAAGATGATGCTGTGAAAGTGCTGCACTCAGTATTCCAACAAATATGGAAAACTCAGCAGCGGCCACAGGTCTGGGAAAGGTCAGTTCTCATTCCAGTCCCAAAGAAGGGCAATGCCAAAGAATGCTCAAACTACCACACAATTGTACTCATCTCACATGCTAGCAAAGTAATGCTCAAAATTCTCCAAGCCAGGCTTCAACAGTGCATGAACCGAGAACTTCCAGGTGTTCAAGCTGGATTTAGAAAAGGCAGAGCAACCAGACATCAAATTGCCAACATGTGTTGGATCATAGAAAAAGCAAGAGAATTCCAGAAAAACATCTACTTCTGCTTCATTGATCCTAAAGCCTTTGATGGTGTGGATCACAACAAACTGTGATACATTCTTAAAGAGATGGTATTACCAGACCACCTGACCTGCTTCCTGAGAAATCTGTATGCATGTCAAGAAGCAACAGTTAGAACCGGACATGGAACAACAGACTGGTTCCAAATTGGGAAAGGAGTACATCAAGGCTGTATATTGTCACTCTGCTTATTTAACTTTTATGCAGGGTACATCATGAGAAATGCTGGGTTGGATGAAGCACAAACTGGAATCAAGATTGCTGGGAGAAATATCAATAACCTCAGATATGCAGATGACACCACCCTTATGGCAGAAAGCAAAGAGGAACTAAAGAGCCTCTTGATGAAGGTGAAAGAGGAGAGTGAAAAAGCTGGCTTAAAACCCAACATTCAAAAAATGAAGATCATGGCATCTGGTCCCATCACTTCATGGCAAATAAATGGGGAAACAATGGAAACAGTGACAGACTCTGTTTTCTTGGGCTCCAAAATCACTGCAGTGGGTGACTGCAGCCACAAAATTAAAAGATGCTTGCTCCTTGGGAAAAAAGCTATGACAAACCTAGACAGTGTATTAAAAATCAGAGACATCACTTTGCCAACAAAGGTCCATCTAGTCAAAGCTATGGTTTTTCCCGTAGTCATGTATGAATGTGACAGTTGAACCATAAAGAAAGCTGAGCACCGAAGAATTGATGTTTTTGAACTGTGAGGAGACTCTTGAGAGTCCCTTGGACTGCAAGAAGATCAAACCAGTCAATCCTAAAGGAAGTCAATCCTGAATATTCATTGGAGGATTGGTGCTGAAGCTGAAGCTCCAATACTTTGGCTGCATATTGTGAACAGCTGACTCATTGGAAAAGACCCTGATGCTGGGAAAGATTGAAGGCAGGAGGGGAAGGAGATGACAGAGAATGAAATGGTTAGATGGCATCACTGACAAAATGGATACCAGTTTGAGCAAGCTCCAGGAGGTGGTGAAGGAAAGGGAAGCCTGGCATGCTATAGTCCATGGGGATGCAAAGGGTTTTCTACATGACTGAGCAACTGAACAACAGCAAGTGTCCAAGGAAGGGTTAATATCCAAAATATATAAAGGACTCATACAACTCAATATACAAAGGCAAACAACCTAATTCAACAATGGGCAGATGGCCTGAATAGATATTTTTCCCAAAGAATTTATAAGATGGTCCCAGACACGTGAAAAATTGCTCAACATTGCTAATCATCAGGGAAATGCAAATGAAAACCACAATGATATACCACCTCACACCTGTCAGAGTGGCTACTACCAAAAAGACCACAAATAACAAGACCTGGTAAAGATGTGGAGAAAAACGAACCATTGTGCAAACTAGTGCAACTACTATGGAAAACCATATGGGGTTTCTTTAAAAAAATTAAAAATAGAACTACCATACAATCCAGCAATTCCACTTCTGTGCATTTTTCCAAAGAAAAACACTAATTGAAGAAGACATGTGCGCACCAATGCTCTTTGCAGCATTATTTACAATAGCCAAGATACAGAAATATCCTGTGTCTGTGGGTAGGTAACATGGATGATGGATGGACATAGAGGGTATTATGCTAAGTCAGTTAGAGGAAGACATGTCCTGTGTGATTTCATTTGAATGTGGAATCTAAAAAGCAAATGAGCAAACATAGCAAAATAGAAACAGAGTCATAGATACAGAGAACAGACA